ATCGAGTGGACTGAAACACGGATGCACACCAAGAAGGGTGCATCCAAGAAGAGAGATAAGTGTTGTTCGGGATGAACAACACGTTGAAGCGAGGTCGACTATCGGAGAGTCGATCGTAGAGCAAGCCCGATCGACTGAAAGAGAGTCGATCGAAGTGGACGTGCCTGTGGTAGTGCACCTGCAGTCAGTGCACATATTGGAACAAAGTTACAGCGTTCCTGAGAGTGTAAACTCCCTAGCAAGTCATGTTGAGGGTGTGGATCCCCAACCACCTGCGGATGCGTTTCCCCAGGAAAGCACCTAGACAGTGAATTTCTTGGTGAATGACGGATCAAGTGAAGGCGTTTATACACTTGATCTGGTTATACTTCCGAAGTCAGCTTCGGAGGTAATCAAGTTGCCAACGCTAGAATATAAAAGATTCTTGTGAGATCTGCGTAGTGACAAGATCAAGTAGATCTGCGTACTCGTCACAGAGGACGAGTACGTCGCCGATATTCAAGGCGGCACAAGTGTTTACTTACAACAAACGGGTTCTCAGTAGCTCATCGATGGACGAGGGTGTCTTCGATGAGAAGAACCGGATTTAGCGATACACGTCTCAATCTTGGGAGCCTTTCAAGACAAATCCTTTGTATAAGGATTTGATCGTATCCAGGGATGTTTTCCCGAAATCTGTGCCATGCGAGCTGCCCAATGACAAAGGCACTCGGCATGAGATTGAACTGAAACCCGGTTCGAAGTACCATGTCATGAAGCAGTGGTCACTGCCTCGTGAACAGGTCACAGCGATCGGCAAATTCTTTGCCGATCGCTTAGCGGCTGGTCATGTAAGTGAATCAACATCCCGACACAGCTCTTCGACCATCTATGTGCGAAAGGCCACAGGAGGGTGGCGGATAGTGCACGCGTTCAACAAATTGAACACTGCAACGGTACCGGCTCAAACGCCAATCCCAAGGAAGGACGTCATCATTTATGGTATGGCAAAAAGTACCATCTTTTCGTCCATGGATCTGATAGATGAATTCTATCAGATCCTCATGCGTGAACGGGACATCCCGTACACAGCAGTGAGCACCCCCAGTGGTATGCTCTGGGAGTGGCTAGTAATACCACAGGGGCTAATGACCCCTGCAACGTTCAACAGATGTGTTCCGAATCTGTTGCGATTGGTGCGCGATTTCGCAACGAGTTACTTTGACGATGTCTTCGTCCATAGCCGGGCGATGGATGGAAGTAAAAATGTGGGGTTCATAGAATCCACGTCCAGAAGGTTCTTACACTTATGCGAGAGCATAAGTTGTTCGCGAACCTCAAGAAGTGTATATTCGCAGTGAACGAAATACTACTTCTTGGCTGTATCGTGGGTAAAAAGCGGTGTACGCCCTGATCCGGAAAAGGTCAAGGCGATTAGCGACTGGCTTGTACCAGTCAACGTCAAGGGACTTCGAAAGTTCCTTGGCTTAACTTGGCAGCGCATTTGCTGAAGTACTCGCGAAACTACGCCGAGATGACCGTATGTCTCTCTTGTTTGTTAAAGGAAAACGAGAGGTGTTCATAACGAGGCGTGTCGCCGTTCACTGCTGTATAATTCAACAGTCCTCCACGAACCGAATAACGTTCGGTCAAAAGAGCGGTATTGAGACGTTAAGCTTGTAAAAGCTTGACTGCACGGATTAGGCATTAATTCCAGCAATAGCAGAAGAGACTCATCTTCTGCGTATGCTTTCCACACGTCATCAAGCAGATTCGACGACGGGACACTCACTGATAGTGTTGCAGCAGTGCGATCACCCCTACTATTGGGTTGGGTAGTCGGCTCCAAATCAGGCCGACGCGAAAGAGCGTCAGCGACGACATTAAGTCGTCCCGGTTTGTACTCGAAGGAAAAGTCTTACTCCGCGAAGAAAGACAGCCACCTCGCCATACGTTGCGAGATGTGTGGATTGGTTACGGACGTGCGTAACGACGCATGGTCGGTATAAACGGTGAAGGGCCTATCCCATAAGAAATGTACCCCAAACTTAGCCAGTGCATATTTCATGGCAAGGATTTCCTTGCCATGCACCGGTTAATTACGCTCAGCTACTGGCATCTGACGCGATTGATAGCAGACGACGCGCTCGACGCCGTCTGAGACGTACTGCATTAACGCGCAGCCGATTGCGAAATCGCTGGCGTCACAGACAACATGATTTGGTCTGTCCTAGACTGCGATCGCTAACACAGGCGATCGTATCAAGCTTTGCTTGATACCTTCGAAGGATTGCTGACGCTCAGCGCTCCATGACCACTTCTCGTTTTTCTTTGGTAGACGAGAGATATATACGGTCATCTCGGCGTAGCTGCGCAAGTACTCGTGCAAATGCGCTGCCAAGCCAAGGAACTTTCGAATTCCCTTGACGTTGACTGGTACAGGCCAGTCGCTAATCGCCTTGATCTTTTCCGGATCAGGGCGTACACCGCTTTTTACCCACGATACAGCCAAGAAGTAGTATTTCGTTCACTGCGAATATACACTTCTTGAGGTTCGCGAACAACTTATGCTCTCGCATAAGTGTAAGAACCTTCTGGACGTGGGTTCTATGAACCCCACATTTTTACTTCCATCCATCGCCCGGCTATGGACGAAGACATCGTCAAAGTAACTCGTTGCGAAATCGCACACCAATCGCAACAGATTCGGAACACATCTGTATCAGATCCATGGACGAAAAGATGGTACTTTTTGCCATACCATAAATGATGACGTCCTTCCTTGGGATCGGCGTTTGAGCCGGTACCGTTGCAGTGTTCAATTTGTTGAACGCGTGCACTATCCGCCACCCTCCTGTGGCCTTTCGCACATAGATGGTCGAAGAGCTGTGTCGGGATGTTGATTCACTTACATGACCAGCCGCTAAGCGATCGGCAAAGAATTTGCCGATCGCTGTGACCTGTTCACGAGGCAGTGACCACTGCTTCATGACATGGTACTTCGAACCGGGTTTCAGTTCAATCTCATGCCGAGTGCCTTTGTCATTGGGCAGCTCGCATGGCACAGATTTCGGGAAAACATCCCTGGATACGATCAAATCCTTATACAAAGGATTTGTCTTGAAAGGCTCCCAAGATTGAGACGTGTATCGCTAAATCCGGTTCTTCTCATCGAAGACACCCTCGTCCATCGATGAGCTACTGAGAACCCGTTTGTTGTAAGTAAACACTTGTGCCGCCTTGAATATCGGCGACGTACTCGTCCTCTGTGACGAGTACGCAGATCTACTTGATCTTGTCACTACGCAGATCTCACAAGAATCTTTTAGATTCTAGCGTTGGCAACTTGATTACCTCCGAAGCTGACTTCGGAAGTATAACCAGATCAAGTGTATAAACGCCTTCACTTGATCCGTCATTCACCAAGAAATTCACTGTCTAGGTGCTTTCCTGGGGAAACGCATCCGCAGGTGGTTGGGGATCCACACCCTCAACATGACTTGCTAGGGAGTTTACACTCTCAGGAACGCTGTAACTTTGTTCCAATATGTGCACTGACTGCAGGTGCACTACCACAGGCACGTCCACTTCGATCGACTCTCTTTCAGTCGATCGGGCTTGCTCTACGATCGACTCTCCGATAGTCGACCTCGCTTCAACGTGTTGTTCATCCCGAACAACACTTATCTCTTCTTCTTGGATGCACCCTTCTTGGTGTGCATCTGTGTTTCAGCCCCCTCGATCTCTTCGAGTGGTGAACCTTCGGAGCAGCCTGTGTCTCAACACAGGTGCCGGAAGCTGGTTCCACAGTGTAGTGGCCTTCTACACTATGATCTTGTGCAGTCATACTAACGATCATACCACATGTGTCGCACTCACTGTAGTAAATTCAAATGCTTGTGGACGCTTCCGAGACGTTCATCAGATGGCCATCTGATGAACAAATGGAAGGCATCTTCACGGATCGATGCTGCCAGCTGATCCATGGCTGGTACTTTCTAAGCCATGACAGACCGAGGATGCATCAAATTTGTCATCTAAATCATGTGCGGTGAAGTTGTTATCGTAATGCATTCCTTCTAGCGTGTAGTTGATTCTCACTACACGTTTGTTCAATGTTACGGATGCGCATATAGCACGGCACACCGTCATCCTCGTTGGAGGAAACTCTCGCTCAACATAGTTGAGTCTGCTATCATCTAGCGACTGGCGTCGAATAAAACTGTTCGACGACCCACAGTCAACTAGGGCGCGAAGTGATATTCCACTTGTAACGTCGATCTTCAAAGTGATGAGGGACACCTCATTACTAGGGGCAGTAACACACAGCGACTGTGTGTTGGGAGCAATCTTCGTCAAGAGTCCTGCAAATTCTCTTGACGTTTCTGGATCAGCAGGGTGCTCCGCCCCTACTAACCCTGACCATTTTTTGACAATCCGACTTGCTGGCGCGAATTAGCGACATGGTCGGACCCTCACCTTAGACCTTTTCCTCGGCCAACGGCGGTCATCACGTCCTATCTTTGGACGTGATGCGGTGCTTGGGACACTACACTCATGAGCGTAGTTTCCAATCTTCTGGCAGCGATGGAATTTTGCCGTTCGCTTGTGACTCAGAGAGCGAGAGTTCTCGCTCTCGATGTCACAGAGGTCCACTGATTCGGGACCTCCTGTTTCCTGTCGTCTCGTCGGACGATATTTTGATGAGTTAGCCTGAGACTGTCTCAGGCTCAAGACCTCTTGTTCCGCATACGCTATCACATTTTCCAGCGTATGGAAGTCCTCTCGGAACATGTAGGTCCTCTCCGGTCCATCTAAAAGGCCGTAGATGAACACGTTGATGAGTGTGTGCTCATCGACAGGTAGTCCGCGACGCTACTCGCAAGGTAGCGTAGGTGTTGTGCGTAAGCATGCACGTCACGCTTACCTTGCTTGAGCCTCATGAGCGCAGAGCGTGCTATGAAGTCGGCTCTTGGCGGCTCAAACGTCTCTTTGAGCCGAGACTTTAAGATCTCCAACGACTAAAACATGTTTGGGTCGTGAAGCTTGAGCCCTAAGGCCCAAGTCTTTGCTCGTCCTGTCAAATTTGAGAGGGTGAAGGTGACTTGCATCTCGTCACTTTCGATGTGACGGGTCCTGATGGCGTCGTCTAACTCGACGAACCATCTTAAAAGGGAATCTTCATCGGTTCCCTTGTACCTTGAGATATCAGTCTTCAAGGTTTCGGGTCGACGCATGTGCGTTGGCCCGCCCATCGACTGATGAGAGCCTTGCTGCTGTAGCAAGGATATCTTCTGTCTTTCGACGGCATGTTCCCATTGTAGGAACTTGTTGATAGCAGCATGTCGCTGGTCTCTGCTTGGAGACTCCAATATGCCACTGATGGCGGGTTCGCCCATGAGCACACTCATGCGGCCGACTACCTCCCATTCTGAGTCACTCAGAGGGGAGTAGCCTCCACGTGTAACGTGAAAGCCGTCGTCTTCAACACCCAACATGTTCATGTTGGACAGACACTAAGTAGTCGTTGGACGGACTACGAAGTGCAAACAGGTGTAACGGGCCACCCTTTGTTTGGGGTGCCACGAACCTTCACGTACACTAGTACGTGCAAAGGAAGCTTATCTACTCAACAACCATTTTGAGTAAAGTTTAAAAGGAGAACTGTATTTAATATAGTTAAGCTATCAATATAACTTCAGTCTTTATCTAACTATATTAACCTACATTGTCGTATGACGACAATCTACTCATCACTCATTGCGCGCGTCTAGCAGCGATTGGTGGTAATCTGTGGTCGATATGTCTCTATCAACCAATCTTTGAGCAGCGCATGAATAATATCCTAAAAGGGGATAATATTCGTTCAATAGAATCCATCTTGGATAATATTGATAGGAAATTGTCACGCTAGACAATCTTTCTATTGATACCGTTTGGTGTCAATATCATGTAACGGGCTTCCCCGTTCCATCTAAACTCTGCTACTTTTTCAGGAATCCTAACATGGGTTTCTATAACGTACTTACGATGCATTGCACGATAGAAAATATTCAATCGTAATCGGTAGGGTACGGTTGTACCGATCGCGTATCGGATACAATAACAAGTCTTTCATCTTCGCTGATCTTTCCGTGTGCGAACCACACGACACCACTCCGGTGGTGATCCCCACCGTTGTGTAACTCCTTATTGTAACTTTATACAGAAAGAGAAATACGGAGTTCGAGCAGTCGAAGCCTTGGCTGGCTTCGTTCTTGACATAGTGCTGGAACTGAGCGCGCTTGCCATTCGAAGGGTCAAGGAAGACGTCAAAGACGGGCAAAGTGTCTTCATCTGGTGCCTGTAGATTGTCAAAGACGAAAAGACTGCGCTGGGGATAGGCACCAAGAGGCGTGGCGAGAGCAGATCGAAGCGTCTGATTCATGTCGTAGTTACTTTCTTGCAAGGGCTCCAGGAGCGTCTGAAAGGCGACAAGTTGCACCGTGTCTACTGATCGAGAAGCGCCAAAGAGCGACGAGGCGACAGCACCAGCCAGAGAATGCAGCAGCTCGCTGGACGTGGAGAACAGCACAAGTGCTAGTGGCTCGTTGCGATCGAAATCGTTGCCCACAAAGCGCCCAGTCAGCGTCGAGATGGTAGTGGATGAGGCACATGGACACAGCCACTTGAACGCTCGTGATTCCAGACGAGCAACTAGATCGTTTCAAGAATTAAGTGCACTGCTGCCCCGATACGAGCGGCAGCAGCAAGATCGCAAGCGGCAACGGGCGTGACGACAATTTATCTGGAGAGAACGTAATGCTCGTAGACAATTACGCTGAAAAAGGGACGAATGAATTTACAGTGCTGTCAAAGCAACCGTCAAACTGCTACACTTGGCTTCAGATCGAGTGTCGTTGTCGGAATGTCATTTCTACGCCTGTTCCATCAGGAGTTGAGCCTCGTGTGCGTAGCTGGTTATCTCCTGCTCTAAATTGGCGAAGGGTAAGTCTTCAAACTTCGTGAGTTTAAAATTTTCCTTCAAGTTGTGAGTTGTGCCATAGCAAGCATCAAGACCCCTAAAAGGTTTGTCCGTCCCAACGATGGCAATACGATACATCTGCTTCAAGTCCTCATAACTTCGCAAGCGCTGCACCGCCGTCCGTTTCGATGTAGTCACAGTGTCTTCATCATCATCCTCTGCTAACGGGCGCTCCCACTTGAACATCTGCAAGTGGGTCCAGAACGGCGAGTCGTGGTGATCAACCGTACTGCCAAGTTCCTTGGCGTTGCGGTGAAGAAACAGAACATCGCCATCGACGTCAAACTGGACCATAGTCATGCCACAAAACAGTTTCGAGTTTGTTCCCCACGTAGGACCTGCCAAAGCGGGTGGAAATGGCATCATGAAAAAGGACGCGTGTGCTTTCATCCAGGCCAGTCGAAAAAGATCCTTGTCGCCGTGAGCCAGTAAAAGTCGGTTGAAGTAGTTGGGGAGATGTGACGCAAAGAACATGAGCACCTCAAGTGCGGGCGCAGCCCGCTTCCGATTAATGAGCATTTGCCCACTCTCTTGCTCAAACATGTCAACGAATGGAAGATCGACTAGCTCCCACAACAGAGACTCGCGGTGAATGCCAAACATGGTATTGTCCGGATGCCAGAAGTCCGGCCAAAAGATAGCACCATGCTTGCGATATTCTTGACTACGGAACAGGAACGTCGGGTCACGCACGGGAACGCTGTCCGCGTCAAGAAACAATACATTCTCGAACTTGCTGTGTTGAATAGCGTAAATTTTAGTGCAAAACTTAAAAATTGTCGGGTCGATAATGGTTTCCACGCTCACGTCCAAAAATTGCTGCTGCAAGACTTTCAGAGCTGCTCCCGTGCTCGGAGTGCGCGTCACTTCAGATTGCAAAATCCATAGCTCAATTGGCAGTGTGCAATTATACGATCGTAAGACGCTGACCAATGCAAATACACTAGCTACAAGTTTCGGGTACACCACAATGACGATGCCATCGCCGGTGCCACTGTTTCCCAATAGCTTCGATGGATCCGATGTATTTTGAGCCAAAGCATTCTCGTAAACGTTTTGAGCTTTGAGTCCAAAATTAGCAAAATCGGTAGCATCTGCACATGAAAACACAACACGATCAAGCAAACTGGAACAGTTGAGTTGCATGACGCGGAAAGATTCGCCAGTTTCTTCGTCCATCACCTCACAATATCCAGAAACACCAGCATGGACAAGTTGCTTGCATCCACTGTCAGAGCTTGGTTCACGTTTGCCGAACGAGCTACACTGTCCAGTTTGGCGCCATCCTATGCATTTCAAATTATTCCGGATCCTGCGCGATTCATGGAAGCGTAAATCAACTGTACTGGCCGCTCGAACGTCTTCCAAGCTGTATCTTTCTTCCAGAATAAGCTCGTCTGTTGCACTGATGAGTTCCTTTAGACGCTCAGACTCTTCATTGGCTTCCTGATTAATCCCTTCCAAGCGACTGATTTGATGCTCGTAATTCCCAATCTTCCACAGATCGCGATCTGATGCACCATCACGTAACCCGGTAACAAGTGCGGCCTTTTTGGAACCTGTACCTGAACTGGCCGCACTCAACTCAAGCGAATAGACAAGGTTTAAAGCATCGGTAAATTCCTGTGAGCGCTGCACCGGTAGTCTCGACTCGTCGATTGGCAGCGATATCTTGGATGTCTCTGTAGCTTCGTTCCCGACAACATCCTCGACCTTCCATGCTTCGTTGTCAGTTTCTTCCTTCTTGTAGGATAGCAAAATCGCGTCATTCTGCCGTGGCGGAATAGACCAAGCGTTAAATTTTTCGTAAACTTGTATGCCGACCGAGTTTGAGGAAACAAATGGTGCTGTTGGGGCTAACGCTGACGGCGTAGCACTAGTAGAAAGGTCTGTCATTCCTCTAGAATCTAGGGCCTCCTCAAGACTGTTTAAAGGAGCGCCCACATCTTTTTCCGTCTCGCGCTTGGTCAACACTTTTCCAAAACTTTCGTCTTGCTCCTGTACGAGCTCATTGCTCGTTCCAGTTCCTCCTTCCAGCTCATTTACGTTCTCTGCAATCGGCGCCATGTTGACGGAACCTGCCAGTGGCACATTCTGGTGGAAGAGATGAAGAGGCTGTGCAGGGGCCTCAGCCTCCTTCATCTCTCGGAGATTCAGGACGAGAGGAGCTCCGGACCACGGGGGCGTCCAGAAAGAGCAGAGCATTGCAGCTACGTAGAGCCCCAGGACGACGTAAACCAGCAGCCATCCACGAGTGCGCCACCGCCCGTGGGATACAGAAGTTGAAGATGTGCGTGTTGATTTCGTCGCAAAGCGACCAATGGGCGCGTGGGACGGAGGAGCACGTGATAAGGGGCGCTGCATCGTGCCACAGACTGATCAAATATTACAATGGACACTGCCACCACGTCACGAGAGATCCGCGCGAGATGGGGTCGCTAGACTTGAGTTTTGAAAGGTAGATTCACCTACCCCGTTTCGGGGTCAAGGGGTCAGCATAAACAAGGCTCATCCACTTCGGCTGACATTTCAAGTCAGCCCAGCATGACCTGGATTGGCTATGGATTCTGAACTTGGTCCGAAACTTTCTAATCACGGTCGTCAGGCGGCATGTGCTGGCTCGAATAGAGTGGGCTACGGGAAGCAAATGACAACTTGGAAGGGAAATTGTGAGATTCGCCCTTTTTTCAGGTAGATGCAAATCCCGTTTCCGTTAAGGAAACACTGAGTGCAAACTTTGTTGACACTTTTACACAAGGTGTTGCAAGAACATTTGTTTGGAGGTGGATCCAATATAGGAAGCAAGCAACTTGCCTGATCAAAACTGGATAGCTGCAAATCAGTTTTCAGTCGCGAATTTAGTGGATGGCCTAAAAGCGTGTGAACGACCTCCCAAACATACTTTCTTCGAACACAACTACGCTAATGAACCGTAGATGTACTGTAATAGGTGCCTCCGTTACATGATAGTTTACGCAAGATAAAAATCAAATACAAATATACTGTTTGGACATTTAGAATATTCTCACAATATTGGCTAAGCTAGTAACATTGTGTCACAAAAGTATTACACTGCTCGTTGATTGACATAAATTACAAAAATCAACCGGTTAAGGCCACGATAGAGGAATGTAAGGGTAGTGAGCAGATAGTTACTAAAACGGGGTAGCCCGTTACAGTGATATTGACACCAAACATTGTCAATAGAGAGATTGTCTAGCGTTACAATCTTCTGCCAATATTAGCTTGAGATAAGTCGTATTAAAGGAATGTTATTCCCTTGCAGGATATTATTCATGCGCTGCTCAAAGATTGGTTGATAAAGCCGTATCAACCACAGATTACCACCAATCGCTGCTAGATGCGCGCAATGAGTGGTGAGCAGGTTGTCGTCATACGACGGCGTAGGTTAACATAATTAGATAAAGACTGAAGTTATACTGATAGCTCAACAATATTTAATTCAGCTCTCTTTTGTTC